ACGCTGGCGGACGAGCTTCTGGAGCAGTTCTTCGAGTCTCCCTTCCCCACCTCTTTCCACATCATCGAGGGCCTGCCCTCCGCTGCGACACCCTCTACCTCCCTCACGACCTTTTCCAGCATCAACTTTGGCAACCGCTCCGTGCTTCCCGCGGCCGCGGCGCCCGCCGCGCAGGGCGCAACACGCGGTCTGCGGGGCGTCCTCGACAACATTGTCACAGACGGCATGCGCGTGGCCGCCGAAGTGCGCAAGCGCATGGAGGAGGCACAGAAGGAGCTCGAGAAGAACGCGACGTCGAACCAGACGCTCCAGCCCCGGGACGACGACGACGAAGACGACGCCGACATTGGCGTCGAGATTGGCGTGCGTATGGGCCCCGCTGATGCCGAACGCCGGAGCGTACGCAGCGAGGACCGGGTACCTGCTCTCCGGGGCGGACGCTGAAGGCTGGCGCCAGTGGAAACGCGAAGGACGGGCAGCTGGTTGACATTGAGCCGACGGCGGCCCCCCCCCCCCAGACGGGCAAAAAGGGTCGTGGAGTTTGAGGGGATAGCCCGACGTAACTTAGAAGGGAGAGCAAGCGGGTGCCGTGGATAGAAAGAGAGCGGGCATGTTGTCACAATGTCTTGTCACGGCTGGGTTCGAAAGCCAGCCGGCAAGGGGGCTGGGGGGGCCCCCGGAAGGGGCCGAGGCGGGGCGGAGGGAGTCTACCGTGGTGGACAGGGGGGGGGGGCAGTTGGCGAGATGCGTACACCTGCTGGCGGAACTAGCATTTTTGGGGGACCCCAGGATTCTCTTGTTTTTTTCCCCTTGTGGCACTCGGTGTTTTTGTTTTGTCGCTTCGCCCATTTGGTAGGGCCGGGGGGGAGGGGAGGGGGGTTATCATGTCGACCTGCATGTGTAGACAGATCAGATCACATCGTTGAGGAAGAAAGACGGCCATTACGCCGAGGATTCACTGGCTGTGCTGCTGCTGCTGCCGACTGACTGACTAATGTTCTTTTTTGTGACGTCTTGTCCCATCGTTGATGAAACTTTGAGTACGCTGAACCGGGGCCTCTCCTGCTTGTTTGCCAGCTTGTTGGCTTGCCTGATGGGGTGGTTCATAACACTGGCCACTGGGCATGTCCCCCGCCGCCCAGTTTCAAGGTGAGATGCTGCGATGGAAGGAGGATAACAGGGAGAGCGCGACTTTGTGCCTCCATTGTTTGAGACCTCTTGTCATCTGGAATGGAGAGAGGGTGAAGCGCGTCTGCGGGGGACCTGAGGCCCGAAACACGTGGAGACGGGAGGGGAGGAGAGGAGAGGGTCAGGATGTGAAGAAGGGTTTGTTTGGGCCTGGTCGTCGATCGATCGCTTCGATCCGTCCGAGCTTTATTTTTATTTGATTTTTTGTCTCAGATGGTGGTGGGATGGCGGGTTGACCAACCTGTCTGTCTTGCTGTCGTCACGGCGCCGTTCATATCGACATGTCTGTAGGCGAGGTGATCGAGAGGTGGTTGAGGTGAAGGCTTCGTGACTGGCACTGATGCGTGTTCGATACGTACGTCGTGATGGGAGGGGCGCGGGCTCTGGGACGGTCATCGGTTGAAAGTTTGTCTTGCTACCGTACCCATGTGGGAAACTCAAGTTATTTCACGGTTGAAATGGGGGCATCCATCGTTTGCGAAGCTGTTGTTTGATGCTGCGCTTGCTTAATCAACCTGTAAACGTATCAACGAGATGCTATGTTGTTGAAACACAACGATCAGCCGCAGATATACCCAAACAACTTGAATTCAACTACGCTACGTGAACCTGCAAATGCTTGCTGGGAAAGCTGGTATGTCCGCTCGGCAAGCGGGTATACACTGCGTCAGACAGGGCCCTGCTGCACTTTGCTCATACTGATTCTTTACCTGTCCATGCGGGACACGCCAGGTCGTCGAGTCTAATCGTCGTCGGCCAGCAGACAGGAGCCGTGCCGTCAGTCTGGATCGAGACCAAGGTTTCTGGGCAGACCATGAACTCGACGTCGTCTAGTGAAACCCTTTGCCGCGATCAGATGCGCCTTGTCCGTGCCATTCCCTTCCATCTTCGACTCCCGGGCACAAGAAGAGATACTCTGCATGTGAACCATTCTGGCGTTGCATTTGACTGTGTCTCAGGACCAATCTAACGGACGCGGTAGCCTGTCGAAAATTGGCATGATCTTTGTCGGGTACGTGTTGAGACCGCTCACGAATGGCATCGCCTGACCGATGATGATGCCGTTAAGCGGGCAGACAGTTGCTTGACCGTAAGTCGCAGGAATCACTTCACAAATTTGTATAGATCCCAAGCTAGCTTGAACTGCGGCTCTCTTGGTTTTACGTGAATGTTCTACGGACAAGATCCGCGTTGGTGTCGATGAGGGAGCCGACATTAGCGTGAAAATACTTGGTATCAACATCTACCAGCACACGAACACGGAATGGACTATACCCAGGTGTGCTCGCGACTCTTCTGGAGTTTTCGAACGTCCTTCGAGAGGTTGACGTGAGCTTGCGGTGCAGACTTCTCGGATCCGCAGATCGCTAGCCAAAGCTGAGGCCTTCGACGGTCGTTTCGCTTTCTTCATCGTTTTGACAGACGGAACCAACAACGGCCGCAAGATATGACCGGAGTATCCTGGCCAGCTGCTCAGTATCAAAGAATCCTCGTCGGTGCCCAAATCTACTATTGTGAACTCCAGTATGCCCGGATCTCATCACAGCGAGGTTTCTCTGGCATCTCATCGCCTACGTTTTGCTGCTTTCTTCGTTGCCACTGCGTAGGCTGCACTTGGGCTGCACGGAACGTTGCCTGCACCATCGCCACCAAAATCAAGGCCATCGCGTATCTGAAAAATTCCAATTTGTCGTTGTCTGATTTTGCCATGTGTACATGTGAGCTGGTCCGATCATGCTGTGAATGAGCACCCTACTGAAGAAGAACTGACGATCGCTCATGTCACTTGGTTCTTCTGTTTCCAAGACGTCTATTCTGTTAAGCACCGTCGTTGCCGAATACCCTCGCACCGACTGCATTGAAGTCACCGCGCCGCTGTACGCAATGATGGCACGTACCACGGCCGCGGTTGGCTGTCCGCCACACATAATACAAACCATATACGTCTCGACAACCCTGTCGTCACGGCGTTCATGGCTTTCAGCTTCACCCTCCAGATATCAGAGATCATCTCCCGGGACGCCCAGACGCTTTACTTATCGATACACCAAAATCGGCTGGGTCTCGTCGACAGTATCATTTGCACCGTTGCACGAGATATTTCACATTTTCTGGCGATTCGAGAGACGATGGCATGGCGAGCCAGGGCACAGCGGCAATGCTATATATTTGTCTACGCGACGGGCTGATTCAAGCTCTATAAGTACAATCTGTCAGTCGACGGGTCGCATAGAGGCTATGGTAGTCAGGACAGAGGCGGAGAACCCTGCTTCGGGTCGCTAATGTTCCGTCTGCTTTCTGGTCAAGTTGGGGGGATCATCATGCGATTTGCCTGTCCCATTCAGCCGCTCATCGACAAACCTGGCTTCAGCCTCACCAATAGCTCAGCCCCTTCATCTCCGAACTCCCAATCGACAGCTACAATGCACCGTATAAGGCCACTTGGGCGCTAGCTCTCCCCACCTCCCCACACGGCACTTGCTCAATTGAAGAGACTATCGACGTGGGCTTGGCCAGCACCAGCAGTGATTCGCGGTGAGGCATCTATGCATAGCGATCTCGACGAGCACAATGCATCTCAGCAACAAGACTCGCGGCTCAAGGCGTTGTCTCACCCCTACACGTCTGAGAAGGAGAAAACACAAAAAGTCCCCCCCACCGCATCGCAGCCTGGCCGGCCATGTTTATTTTTCAAACACGTCGGAACATGCACCTTGTCTCGCCCGGCCCGCTCCACTCGGCGTTTTGGAACCGCCCGCGCTATTCTTCTCTCATTCCCACCTCCTGGATCTGACAGATCCAGGGCCTGCACTTGAAAAGTCAGGGGCAGAGAAAAAGACTATTGTCTTTTGGAAATAACTAGCCCCTCGCGCCGGTGGGGCTGCCGACGAAGGGGAGGAAGCTCGTCATCGTCCTCGTCATTCTTTTTGCTTTCTGACGCTTGGGGAATTTGTGCC